AAACTGCCAACTATTCGCCTGACCGAATCACTTATTTTGAGCAGGCACCTTTTCATTTTACGACAAGCGACATTGAATTCCCTTTCCACGCTTTTTGTACCCAGAGAAGGTAAATAGGCTATCCATTTTGTTTGGTGTTTATGAAAAGGAAGAAACGAAAACACCACTTTGGAGACTGTGTGACAATATGAATTCGAGTCCAAAGTCGACCTATTCTAATTTGATAAATAGCCACTTGCGTAAGAAGAAACACTGGCTGTTCTGTATACATGGCTCTAGTTTAAATCTGAGATCAGTTTTGCTGCGAAGGGCAAACATGCCCGTAGACTCTGTGCTCGCGTGACCGCTAATCACACATCACACGTTCTTTCCACCATCGGCATCATCCATTACAAAGGCTTATCTGTTCAAGCCACGGCAACAAACAAAAGTGCTGACGATCCAAAAAGGGAGATTCTCACCAAAACATCGGACCAGAATGACCCCAGTCAACCGGCTGGACCTTCCAGGACAACACAGACCGGTATTCGATAATCCTCAGTCAGACTTGGACGAACATAAGAAATGATCGATTGGCGAAGATAGAAAACACCTTCGTTGGGGATAAAATTCAGTGGTTGAAGTTCAACTCGTGGCTAGTGAAGTGCTAACATGGATGCGAGTGTTATGTGCCTTCTAACATTTGCTAACCGGGAATGTCAGCGCTTGAGCCGTATGGATCACTTGAGAGCATGTAGTTCAAACTAGTGACTCACAATGACAAGGATCCTTGTTCTGCTAGATAGTGAGTTTGTAGATAGATTCGAAAGGTGTTACGGTACTTGGTGTGGTGTCCTGTGTCGAATAAACCGCCATGTTCCCGCTGTGATGTTGCCAAAAAAACTGATCCATGAACTGAAGTCATAGAATGACATGATAATAACCAGCTGTTGCCACATTCCCCTTTCCTAATATCTATTAAATTACACCACAAAAAACCCCTCGTCACCCGGTAAAGGCAATCGGAAATGTGCTTAATTTTCGTTACACGATCTAAGTCTCGATTACGCTTACCAATGTCCGTGAATTATTCTGAGGCTGGTGAACCGCACTTGAGTTATTTCGAATCAACCCAAATTTTCCACCGAAGGAAATACATAAAATATGACACGTTTCCCATGAAGCATCAAAATTTATTTCTAAAGCACCCTGAAACCCAATTGAAGGTCATCCGTAAAACAGTAATCAGCAGAATTGTTTGCGGTTCAAACTGGAGATTTACCTTCTTCCAACTCCTGGGTGCGCGTGCATCCCACCCGAATCCCTGTCTTTCGGTCGGTGAGCTAGATTTCTTCAGTTTCGTCTGTTCGTCCGCATTTGTTTTGGGGTCAATATACTGCTTCATACAGCTCATGCGATTTGCCCGTGTCACAACCATAAGATAAGTCGATACATCATACATTTGGGATCTCCTACCGCAGCCGCTTCAGTGCACTGTAGTACTCGAGCGACATGAATCTTCAATTCCTGTCTGCCATGCATGCACGGGCCCGCGAGATGCGAAAGCTCTCCGTACGATAAAGCATGTGCCATACAGAGGTATTTGTGCACGCTCGTGAGGATACGCACTGAGCCAATGGGACTACCGGAAACTGCGCTAACACCTCGGACCAGACGCCCGGAACCCATTCAATCTGTGATCAGAAAGATGTAGAGCTCGATTCTACGCTCATTATATTGGCTGCCTTGAAAGAACTCATCCAAATCAGGTTCTTTACGTGTATTCCATCAACATTCAGGACATCTAAGAAACGCCAGAACAACGCAATCTGCTGCGCTCTGGCGAGGCATGTGACTGTGGTGCGCTTTCACCGACCGTAACAATAGTCACCGTCCCCACTTACAAAGGTTTGCTAGGACCGAGGACATATCATCTACTACAGTGGGATCAAACTATCAGTCACTTACTCAACAGAGCAGGTCGACGTTTAGGGCGGTAGTTGATGTGCTGTTGAATTCATCGCCTGCACACTGTCGCACTTCGTGTGACAGCGTTCAATATTTCAGTACAGCGTTGCAGTTACTACACTCCTCTTCGGTTAACTGTCGGTTTACAGTCAGTTGTATCTAACCTTCGTCACTTACGTGTATGAACGAGATGGTAAGATGCAGATAGTCTCTGTGTCCTCTAGGGGAAGATCCGTCTCTGTCATTAGAGGATGCGCTCAACTAACTAAATTCTTCTGATTTCTCAACTTTTGCTTGGTTTAGCGGGTCGCCTCTTCCCTTTATCGCGCGCTGCACGCACAACTACCACATCGTTTAACACCTCAAAAGCGTTGAAGGATGAAAACCAGGAAGTCACCAACTTCTTAACAAACATCTCTGAGATACAGCTCACATCCTGCCTGGTCATAGCAGTGAAAGTCGGAAATTGAATGCTCAGCAGAAATCACGAGTAGGCGTTTATTTAAAAAACTGCCAACGAAAACTAGACAGGTTATGGTGCTTTTTTGCTTTGAGCGTATACCTAGAGAATGCTGCATTTTAACACAAGTCTTCCTTCTACACACAGCCGCGCAAAGTTCGGCTTCCGATGTAGGCGTTTTACGGGCACTCGGTGATTCGTCCAATCACAGTAACTACGGGGTGTGTGTACAAATGGCACTGAAACGGTTCTAGTATGCATGATGGATGTCAACACAGAGCCGTACGCACATTCAACATTTGTTTCGTTGCTCGCACTATTTCAATCAAGTGGGTTCTCGAATGGCACATCATCTGCTAATTTGTCATATCTACGGCGTGGGCAACAGAATTTTGGCCCTAGCGATAGGACCTCCAATAGTGTCCCATCGAGAACAAAGTTGGAACAGTTGTATACGTGTTTTCCTCACTCGAGTCTTTGTCCTATTTGAATGTTTTCTTGTCAGTCTGTTTTGCAGCAATAGTTCTAAGGTAAGATGTAAACTACCGAAGTTCATCGTCTGAACGTCAGTACGTGTAGTATTGACTGGCCAGTCGCTGATGCTCACTCGCTTGTACGTACAGTGTATCAAGCTGACTGCGTGTATGTCGTTTCAGTGAGATGTCATCGGGTCGGATACGGTTTCTACGTAACTGCTTCCAATAGGTTTTTGGGTGTTGACCAAGTTTGATGATCCCTCCAGGAATTGGATGAAAGCGGTCGTCTCTGCAAGCTTGGTGTTGAATCCCAAATAGCGATTTAGCTCTCTAATCACCGGTGGATCTTTGCGCTCCCGTAATTGTTTAACTACACGGTTGTCGGACGGGACCGTCTCTGCGGCAGAGTGGCGTGTACAGATAAGCAAACCAATTGGAGATCAAAAGTGCATAGGCGGAGTATATATATATATATATATCCCAAGAGGACAAGACAGAAATTTGAGCAGAGGGAGGTTCTAAAGCCATCATCATCTTGTCCTGCTGATTGCCCATAATTCCCAGGTGAGGATAATTGAACGACCGAGACCCGCGGTGTACACGACAGATGGCCACTCATATGACACAACCAAAGCAGACGCATAGAGCCAGCCAGTGCTAGCCACTATTCAGATCGGTCTGTACAACGCCGGCCACAGTCACTCCTAGCACCATTGTACGCTCAACATACTTCTGGGCAGTTGATAGTGCATGGTGAGCTCTCCAAAAGCTTCCCTACAAAAAAATTGGTGTCAGACAAGGATGTCCACTCTCCCCATTCTTGTTCAACTTTGTCATTAATGAAATAATGAGGCGAACGCTGAACGGTCTTCAAGACCCCGGTGGTTGCTCGTGAGAGCCTTGTCGATCTAGAATACGCAAATGACCTCGCCCTCACCTTTGAAGACCAAAGGACAAGCCCTGTTAAATAGACTGACCACCATCATACCATCTTTTGGCATGCGCCCTGCACCTTCAAAGCGCAGTCTGCGAACATATCCCTCACAATTCAAGGAGAATCACTTTACATACCTCGGTAGTTGTATCAGCTTTGACAGAAGTGCGTCTGATGAAGCCGGTACAAGAATCTCAAAGGCTTAAATCATGTTCACTAATTTGCGTCCCTAGTGACGTCTCACTATATCTTAAGGGCTGTGTACCAGGCCTCTACGGACAGATGATGTGAGGCGTCTTCAGGTTTTCGACCACCGATGCCTCAGAATCGTGGCTGGTTTTGGATGGCATCAGCGCGTTACTAAAAAGTTGATTAGAAAACGGGTATTTGGTTGTGTTGCAGGTACTTCAATCCGGGAAAACATCCAGCACCGCCAACTACGATGGCTCGGTCATGTGCGACGCACACCGAAACACCGTCTACCGAGACAATTGGTATTCTCCATGCCTCCTTCAGAATGGCGCAAACCGCGAAGGCGGACAGCGCACGACTTGGCAAAAAGGCGTGAGAGATCCCCGTGACCCCAACTGTGCTTGGCTGAAGATGTTGCGAGAAATGGCGGCTAATCGATGTCCGTGGCGTTCGTTCTGTTAGTTTCTTTCCAGATTGTCTGACTGAGTGGTTGGAGATGTAGGCACCTCAAAATGCTTGACATAGGCTAGCACTAGATACCCCCCCTCACCCGCTCTTTTTCCCTTCTTTTCACTCTGTGGCTTTAAATATATATATATAAGAAATGTCCAAGTCGTTTACATCTCGTAAAGAGTTGCACACGTGACTGAACACGAATTACATGTGGCATAATATGTCTTGTGAAGTGAGCCATCAATGCAGATTAATTTGACAGGTCAGTTCAGAAACAGATAGCAGTTCACATTACATGTACAAGGAAGATAAACTAATGGAATTTACACACTCCACCTTAATAGTCTATTCATCTGTCAATGATGTTTCGGGTTTAGCAAGGTCAAAGATTAAGAATGCAGATAAATCTTCAGTGCGCCAGGTAGCCGAATGAAATTCACGTCAACAGAAGAAGCATCTTGCCATGTTCCATCGAACGTGACCACCTTTCTTCGATGTTCTCAATGGAACAGACATAAGGGCGTTTCTACGAAAACCACTATACTAAAGCCCTTGTCAAAGGTACACATTTTCCAATTATCTATCGGCTCAAAATGGATGTGTTTGTTGAGTTTCCTAGCGGTTTTTCGTAGGAAAGTCATTGCATCCGTCAGTTACAACTCTTCTCGTTTGTTTGCTTTATATGGAAAGACATTTAAAGGATAATTTGTCTCGCTATGAAGATAGGGTGACGGTTTCCTAAGATGAAAGTGCAACACTTCCTAACAGAAACCGGAAGTAGGTGTAAATTATGTCACACAGTGTGACGGCCATTAGAGTGGGAAGAAGAGAAGGATAAAATCTACATATATTGCAGGCACTGAGCAGTTCAAGTGTACCTCCTGGACAATTCATCTAAGGATCCAAATGATCGTTTTTTGTCACCGAAGCCAGAATATCGGTTGGAACGATGCGGTGAAGTCCATTTGGACTGGGAAGACCTACGAGCAGTAAAGCGGGGCTCTTCCTCATCAAAGTCATTTGGATTTAGACAGGCGAAAGACAACACAGGTTCTGGGATATTGGCTTCAGTGTCCCCCATTGACGATTGCAAAACACGCAGTACTCCACGAGCAACAGAACGAGATGCTTTATCCAGTAGTGTTTGATTCAAAACGGTGATAGCCTCTCCAGCCCGGCCCATTCGACCTGTTCGACCGATCCGATGAACATAGTCGTCGATCTCAACTGGAAAGCCCACGTTGATCACAGCAGTAACATGGGGTATATCAAGACCCCGTGCTGCGACCTATAAAAATAGACAGATAGATCTGAGGTAAAGAACAGTAGCATGTACAACCAGAAAGTGCTGTTAAATATTCCCATTTGAATTCAAAGCACAACGAATGTGAGCAGTGCTTCCGATATAGCCCCATCAGATCAGACAGATAGGTACATCTACAAGTAGTTTACAACGTTGAGAGAATAATGAGTAGGATTTTATCCGTTAAAACCCATTAATAACTGGCATTCAGATAAGCCGGTGGGTCTATCTAAGAGAGAATTCATCGGCTGACCGAGATGAGGCCCTACTTTTACATGCTGTTTTAATGGTGCACATAAGTTGAGTGCGATCACCGCCATTGTTCGATTTTTGCGGAGGATACCAGTATGACCGAGTGGAGCTCGACAGATCACACTGATGGATTCGGCCATTCTGATTTGGTGGTTCATATCGCCTAGACAGTTTGAGCTGATCACAGGAGTAGCTTTTCAGTTCCAATTCAGGCCGCTAAATGCTCAGATAACCTGTGGAGTACACCGTCCATCTAGTTTGCGGAACACTCGCGAGCAGTGCGTTAGCACAAAGAATCACGAACTTCTTCCAAATTTTCATTAGGCAGACGTGTACTAGTGCAGTACATACATATTCAGCTGTAATCTTGAAAATGCGTGTAATACAGGCGAAAGGGGGACGCTAACGGCTGGGATCGAACCCAGGACCCCTAGATTGTCGAAGGGACTCTTTGCCGGCCGCATTACCGCATGGTTGACCCAAATTGCATGGGTGCAATTGAATTTCCCTCTGTTTGACTGACCAACGGTTGAAGTACATTGGAATGAGCTACACATAATATTACCCAGAAACCTAAAAGGTTTACTATTTGAACTGTAGTGGAACAGACAGGAATGCACAAAAAGAGGGAAATTTAGATAAAGTTGGGCGAAAAAACAGTAGCTAGATGAAAAACTTGCAGAAGCCCGGCTGATGAGGTACCTGTATGAGAAACGGGAAAATGTGGACTTGTGTCCTACTTCCATCGTCTTTCCTTTTGTTCCCAATGAGTGAACTAGGCCTCGGGTAATCAGATAACATTGTTTTTGCCTCTGAACAGTAAAATGTACTGTTATTTTTGGATGGACCAACCAAAGGCACGCGCTTCAGGCCCACAAAGTTAAAGGCCATACTAATGGAAATGCAGTCACTGATTATGCTGCATGCAACCAGAGGAATACCTGCATTTGTGGAGCGTTTTACGTATTGTACGGGCTTTATTGGCTCGGACTCAGTATACAGATCTCAAAAAACCGGGATCGCGTTAACCCATTTCGATTGAAGGCGTCGAAGATCATAAGCTACGGTGGTTGGTTATTTGTTGTGCATGCCAAAAAATGGTCTCTCAAGAATAGTGCTGTTCAAAGCGGCTCACAAGCAGAAGGCATAAAAGCTATTACACAGCGTCTGGATATCACTGGTGTGATTCGCGTTCCGGAATGGGGTGGGTCCATGAGATACTGCTGCGGGGTAAGGTTGATAATCGAAGTCGATAACGTTTTCATTGTCAATGGCTAGTTAGATTGCTTGAAGGTGTAGGCATGTCTCAATGGTTGTAGTAGGCTAGTGCCAGATCCTTTCCATCTACCATAACAGAGCTTGCAAACAAATCAAGGTTGATTCATGGGGATGTGATGTTTGGTTGCACGGCATTGAAAGATCAGTGCACAGCGTTCAAGTGCCGTCGATGATGACGGATCGCCCCTCAAGGTTTTCCGAATCCCCGTCTCGTTTACATTAGTCCCACAATTGAGGTGTCCGGCTTAGTTGCCTGTAAACGCCCTACCAAGGTCGAGTGTATCTGATAAGATGAGTAAAGCGGTTCTTCGTACAGTGAAGCGCTTACTAGAGACATTTTACTGTGTAACCCCTTGCGGACGACGTCCTATACACTGACTTCCCACGAAGGTGTTCCCACTAAAGTGAGACGACCAAAGCGGATGTCAGGCGTCACAACCGGTCCAAAACCAACAGCAGCGCGAATGCGACTCAGTCCCAATGAGCTAGGTGGATGAGATCACCGTCCAAATCAAATGAATATGTTGGCCGTGTTGCTTTACCGCTAGTCGTAAGTCCCCGCTGCCTTGAAGGTTATATTTGGCTGTGCAAGTGGTGCTGGGGACACCACCTGAATCAAACTGATGCGAAGCTCCATGAGTATAAACACATTTCATGGCCATTGCTTTCTTGGTACTGTGGCGTCCCTGATAAGCAGTCTTCATCAGTGAGATTGGTTTGTAAGTATCACAAAGCAACTATTCACCGATTGCTGGAATGCTGGAATCCTTCTAGACATTACCTGTCCACCTATAACCTTTCGACTGTATACGAATAGCAGGTCAATATCGGATACAGCTCAGCGGTTCACGTACACCGGGATGGATCAAAAATGCCAATGCCGCTTGCATGGACTGGATACGGTGAGTCAGATGCTACTACTGGGTGCAGTTGGCTTGAAACGGAAGCATCAGCAATGCCCTCAGCATCAAGAGTTTCCATCCCTCTCTCTAAAAAAATTAAGTACCTCAGTAGTCCCCGTAGACACTCCGAATGTAACTACCAAATTAACTCCCAAGCGGATGTCAACTGTTTCCAGGCATGATACTCTGGTAAGTCCCGGAAACTGAAATGTTCGTACACGTCCATCAGACAACCAACCGGCTTTATCCTCGGCAGATTTGGTCCCAACAAGCGTTGTGAGAATGATGCACGATTAACTAATTATGCACGTCTTAACTGAATGTGCGCCACCAACACGTGTTCCCAACATCCACAGGGAGGTCTTCCGTCGTACTCGTGCGATTCAAGTGTCAACTGAACCGGTTACATACTCGTTGTTAGCCTCGGGAAGATGTCACCCTTACCGAAGAGCCGCAGTGGAGAGTAGAGAAAAGTCCGTCGTGTAAGATTCACGCGCACGCTTGAAAGTGTTACTAAAGTGTTGTCCCTCTAAACAAAATTTGGATGGATGAATGAGAATGAGATGGTGAATGAGAAGCAGAAAGTGGAGGCTTTGGCAAGAAGGGTTTAAAAAACGAACAGTTGATTTATCATTCTAAGACATTTTAGCTATTTCCTATCACAAACGGCACAAGGATAAACAGAAATGATATCATCATCATCAGCAAACCATGACACTGAGAATCGAGCGCACTTACAGAGGATGCAACAAGCACTTGAACCGTACCACGACGAAACAACTCCAAAGCTCGGGAACGGTGTGGCTGGGATTTGTCTCCATGAATCGAAGCGGATTTCACACCATTCTGATACAACCTTGCATCGACTTCATCAACCTCGCGCTTGGTGTTGCAGAATATTAAAACCTGATTCAATGCACCCTCCTCTGGAAAGTTGACAAGACGTGTATGTAGAGAAATCACCAGATAAACAACGCCACTATGAGCACTACAGACAGAGCTAGAATGTACACTACTGAAAAGAGGTGAGTAGGAAAAAGAGAATGAAAACTTTCCACAAGCTCGGAAGTCGACGCTTGTCACACTGGTGAGAGTCGAACAGCTATGCTAGTATAGGGTTAAATCAGAAAATAGCAGACTCATATCTCCTGGAAAGATTAGGGGATCGTGAACTTCTGATGATCCCCAGTAAGGATTAAGCAGCAGCACAGTGTTGATCGGTACATGGCGAGTTCAACCACAGGATGGGATGCTGCTTCAAACTATCGATATGAGTTCCAACCATATTATGGCTGTTGAATGATTCACAGGTACTCGCCATAGCTAATTGCTTTGTGGATGGCCAGACACCATAATCCTTCTTCTAAGTTGTTGAGTTCCTCAAGATATTCTAGACACAGAAGTCATTGTCCACCCCAACACGTCTCAGTTCATTGTATCAAAGGGAAAGATGGTAAAGTACCTGAATCCTAAGAGTTCACTATTTAACCCATCATGTGAGTACGGTTTGACACGGGTAACCGACATATTCCTCTCACGTCTATGTGGTCAAAATATCCGTTCCAGAACAGATAACTGTTGTCTCATCTCATGGATGTATAAGCACCTGAAATTTGCCCTAGCGGTGTGCATTGACATCACTCTAGCAGCCGCATAATCATCAATCAATCATCAATCAATCATCATCATCAATCATAATCATCAATCATCAATCATCAATCATCAATCATCAATCATCAATCATCAATCATCAATCATCAATCATCAATCATCAATCATCAATCATCAATCATCAATCATCAATCATCAATCATCAATCATCAATCATCAATCATCAATCATCAATCATCAATCATCAATCATCAATCATCAATCATCAATCATCAATCATCAATCATCAATCATCAATCATCAATCATCAATCATCAATCATCAATCATCAATCATCAATCATCAATCATCAATCATCAATCATCAATCATCAATCATCAATCATCAATCATCAATCATCAATCATCAATCATCAATCATCAATCATCAATCATCAATCATCAATCATCAATCATCAATCATCAATCATCAATCATCAATCATCAATCATCAATCATCAATCATCAATCATCAATCATCAATCATCAATCATCAATCATCAATCATCAATCATCAATCATCAATCATCAATCATCAATCATCAATCATCAATCATCAATCATCAATCATCAATCATCAATCATCAATCATCAATCATCAATCATCAATCATCAATCATCAATCATCAATCATCAATCATCAATCATCAATCATCAATCATCAATCATCAATCATCAATCATCAATCATCAATCATCAATCATCAATCATCAATCATCAATCATCAATCATCAATCATCAATCATCAATCATCAATCATCAATCATCAATCATCAATCATCAATCATCAATCATCAATCATCAATCATCAATCATCAATCATCAATCATCAATCATCAATCATCAATCATCAATCATCAATCATCAATCATCAATCATCAATCATCAATCATCAATCATCAATCATCAATCATCAATCATCAATCATCAATCATCAATCATCAATCATCAATCATCAATCATCAATCATCAATCATCAATCATCAATCATCAATCATCAATCATCAATCATCAATCATCAATCATCAATCATCAATCATCAATCATCAATCATCAATCATCAATCATCAATCATCAATCATCAATCATCAATCATCAATCATCAATCATCAATCATCAATCATCAATCATCAATCATCAATCATCAATCATCAATCATCAATCATCAATCATCAATCATCAATCATCAATCATCAATCATCAATCATCAATCATCAATCATCAATCATCAATCATCAATCATCAATCATCAATCATCAATCATCAATCATCAATCATCAATCATCAATCATCAATCATCAATCATCAATCATCAATCATCAATCATCAATCATCAATCATCAATCATCAATCATCAATCATCAATCATCAATCATCAATCATCAATCATCAATCATCAATCATCAATCATCAATCATCAATCATCAATCATCAATCATCAATCATCAATCATCAATCATCAATCATCAATCATCAATCATCAATCATCAATCATCAATCATCAATCATCAATCATCAATCATCAATCATCAATCATCAATCATCAATCATCAATCATCAATCATCAATCATCAATCATCAATCATCAATCATCAATCATCAATCATCAATCATCAATCATCAATCATCAATCATCAATCATCAATCATCAATCATCAATCATCAATCATCAATCATCAATCATCAATCATCAATCATCAATCATCAATCATCAATCATCAATCATCAATCATCAATCATCAATCATCAATCATCAATCATCAATCATCAATCATCAATCATCAATCATCAATCATCAATCATCAATCATCAATCATCAATCATCAATCATCAATCATCAATCATCAATCATCAATCACACTTCTAGCAGCCGCACCATCCGATGATCCACTGAACGGAAAACCAGTTCTTGCCACTGGATACTGAAGAATGAAAGTCTGAACAAGCAGTGGGACCTCGTATGGATTCCTCAGAACAATATTCTTTCAAAATACCGGCACATTACCGCCGAGAAAACAGATCCGGCAGATATCTAGGTACCTCTTCGACTAGGATGACTAACGATGGGAAGATGAACAACATGAAACACATACTGCATGTTTTCTGCATCAATATACTGGAATGTTAGTTGTATCCGGCTCGTTGGGAGCATGTAGTGAAATACTTCGTGTTGTCTGTAAGATGCCGTCAGACACATAACATTTTTGCATATTCGTGACTCAAACACAATAACGCAGAATGATGCAACTACAACAATGACCGTCAGTTCTTAGCATCTGAAGCGAAAGATTTTTAAGCCGCCCAGCTGAACCTGGATGAAAAGCATATGAAACATTAGGAACTCCCAACATCAACTTCCTCACCAATCATCTTCATCGTTAGGCTTTCTTGAGGGGCCCTTCCGAGAGCCAATGACTCAAGAGTCTGCAGGGGGCTGGCCTGGCCCGAGAGCGGAGAGTAAGGCGTAACCGTCTGATTCATAATGCGGCTGCACACAACAGTACCAGATTCTCCGTATTAAATAGTGCGCCGGAGGCCATTGTCAGTCGTGTGTGCGGGCTTTAGGGTCGATCTTTTCTAACTCGTCCTTCTTCTGAGGAAGACAGACTCACGGCTTTCATTAATATGGACATCTTGGTCGCCCGAAGGAAACAACTCATATCGCGGAGGACAGCACGACTTTGCCTCCAAGCCGTCCCGTAATGCGATTTCCCGCAGTACGGGGACTCGCTGTTCCTTGTCGGCCTTTCTGGTATGGTTGGACATTTAGTCCCTGTACAGGACCATGGCAACACAGAAGCCGAGCACCAAAACAAGATGATAGCTTTAGGTTGGGCCGCCACTTTAATTCCATAAGTTATTAAACACGCGATTTTTTTCGTTCAACGGTGCCGCTGACGTTTTCTTATGTATATTCTGTATGTTTTCCGTTTCGTTGCTGAATAGAATCAAGGAATTACTTAATCTAGGCCGATAACAAAGGGGACTTCCATTGTAGCCGTTTTAAGGTAACAGTGTCCACCTTTCGATTCTGGGTTAACTCACAGACAGTGCAACAGAAAGAATTCTGTGCCGCCAGAGAATCAATCCCTCAACAGGCGTTTCCACTTGTTAGATGTAGTCTACAGGTTGTAACGGACACTTCTACATCAAGTCTATGACCACCAAGACAGTCCCTATGGAGTATAAATGTGAAACCACGGAAGCCGCATCTTCGGGAGCTAAATTATCAGTGGAAAATTGATATGCTGGAGCCATCACTTCCAACACATGCACGGGTTAATCTTTATTGACGAGGTAATGTAAAGAAGGCCCAGCAATCGTATTAAGTTTTCAGAGGCTTCTGTAGAGAATAGAGCTTTCACTCCCATCCGATGAATACACTCATCTGCGTACCACTTTGGTTTTCACGTAAGACACCTGAAAATTTTTCGAAAACCTTATGAGCAGTGCGGTACGTCTTCCATTACCATGTTTTGCTAATGAAAGGGTGTTATATCGTCAACCAAGTAGTGATGACAAACATTAGGATGTAGAACTCTTTCGGGAGAGAACAAAGATGTTAACATGTTGCTACACGACCCACACGAAGCAAGAAGGGAGGGTGACACCACCGGGACAATTAAAAAAGAAACCATCGGTAAATCAGTCACTTGATCGACTCTGCTGGAGGGACTGTGACTTCTTCCGCGGCTTATTTCTGGATCAATCGGAAAACAAAAGATTCGTGAGAATACGTGGAACTTATTGTGCCCTGGGCGTTTTACTGTGGACCAGGTATTACAACGCAAACCGGCTTCCAAAGTTTACGGCTTTAAAACTCACCGGCTGATTGCTCGCCACCCGAAATCAGTCTTCGCACAAGGTCAAGAAGATGGGAATGCAAGGTCTGAACTGAGGAGCTCGGGACAAACTCGATCCGTTGTCTAATCTCCCGAGGAACGATCCGCGTGAGACTGCTGAGGTCTGTTCCCCGACCGGTGGACTTACCCCATTCCGGAACGACAACACCAGCATCTTGACCACCCAAAGTTAATGAGATGCATCTCGAACCCCGAAGAAAATTCCTTGCCAATAACGACACCTCCCGTGGGAAAGTGGCACTGAACAAGCACGTCTGTCGTTCCGACTCCTGTGGCTTGGGCATACAGTGTTCTGGTGATTCAAGAATTTCCCGTATCTGTTCCTCAAAGCCCATATCCAACATCCGGTCCGCTTCATCTAACACTAGCGATCTATGGAACGCAAAAGGATCGGGCACCCGATATGTAGTGGATTTTTTTCAAGTCTGAAAATTTACGAGTGACATGTAAAAGAAGCAACAACTCATGATTCAGGTCATGACCCCTGAGTGGTCTGGGTCCGGGAAGACTGCCGCAGTTTATTACGCACATAGCAGAGAGTTAATTTATTCTACAGTGAAGCCATAAAAACAGGTTTGAAAAGAACAAAAAATGATGATGATGATGATGATGATGTGATGATGGATGATGATCCTTATCATTGTTTGCATTTCGAAAGAGACGAGTCGTTGAGCTATGTCATTCGCTTACTTGATTTCTGTGAGCGAACACAACGGGAGTATCCCATCCCTACATGCGTCAAAGTTCGCCATAACCATCATCGCTGTAGACAGTAATAGACCAACAAATCCTGGTGCTAAACTACCAGTCTTCTGTCATCATATTAAGGACAAAGTTGAAGAGACAAGGGCACAGTAGACAGTCTCGCCTAACACCAATGGATGTGGTGAACTCAGACTATGGTTTATCAGAGATCCCAACATGCCCGCGGGGTAGTGCTTTGAGGTAATTCAAGAATTTGAGGGGAACATCCTTGCACCACAAACGCTGTCATGGTGTCCGACGGTTAACGGCAATTTCCAAGACAAAGATTGCTGTTGTTGGATGGCGCTGCTGTTCCGGAATCTATCGAAGGAAGATGTGATCTGTCAGCCAAATCGGCGGACCACATCACGGCTTCAGTTCCTCACATTAGTGAAAGTACATCGACCACAAAAAGCTAACGACTGGGATTTACTCAGCAAGGGATCCGAGTGTAGGCCATTTGAATTACCGTAATACTGAAAACCAAGACCTTTGTTTATGTTTGCAGTTGTATTGGGTTAGAACAGATTAGGATGAATTTGCTTCATACCTCGAGAGCACGTTGGATGGAGAAACAGATCAGCCACTTACCTGCAATGACTGAGCAGCAGTTTACCTTGGCGCAGAAAGTCCAGTAACCTCCCGGGTGTTGCAACCGCCACGTGACAACCGAGCGAAATCTGATGAAGTTGCCGAACTGGGCGTTCGCCTCCGTAAATACCGACTGGTCGCAGGAACGTACGGTAAGATAACTAGAAGCATATTGATGAAAATACTGAATAGCGGACGACGGTGACATACCTTCGTGACCTCGGAGAGTATCTGTTGAACCAACTCCCTTGTGGGAGCAAGAATAAGTCCGGATGGGAACTGGCAGGAGGGTTGTCCGAGCTGAGAGGAAAAATTGTGAAGATAAGACAAGGATCGATGCAAAATGAAGTGGAAAGCTCAGCCTAAAAACGAACTGCATAACAAGAAACAAGGGATTGTTAGATGGTAAATATTCACCGCGTAACAAGCACAAAAATGGTCAGTGGCAGCGAAAACGTAAGACTACGAACAGGTGCCAAATATTTGGCACACTGGTTATTGTCATTTTCTAATACTACATGCAAAAAGGATAAGTGGGACGAAAACCCTATGAAACCAGAACTGAAGAGGAGCGTCTTCAACGTTTACGTCTGTATGGTGCCGTTGTCAACGCCATGATGGAAGAAGTCACAGATGGGGGACAAATGTGTGCTCGTTTCGACATCCCAAACTGATTAACGTATTCAACGGTCTTTACAGCTACAAGGTGGACACGAAACATTAATAACACTGCATCCCACATCTCATAGCCAACGTGCAACCGTTCAGTTAAAATTACTTCGCAGAAATGTGAACACCATCGAAAAAAGGCTCACCGTTCCATTGTGACACATTTTTTCTGCTTAGCTATGATGTAAGCCAAAACGAAGCAAGAGAGGTGAGATACTCTGATTGAAATCATTGCAAAGTTCGAGAAAAATTCAAAGGTGTGAAGAAAAGCCTACGATGTGATGAAATTTTAGATAAGCGGTGAAGCTAAGCAGAGAGGGGAGGCGAGAGAAAAGAAACAACGCGTAATCTAGCCAAGGAAGGAACGCCATTAATGACTGCTTCCAACCGGAGACACTACTGAGATCTGTCGCCGAAAAACCTGTTCTAATAAGTTCGGAGGCAGGAAATTGAATAGGGCTTTATTGAAATTCAGCACGCCCCGCGCACCGGGATGAACAAACGGCGGCTTGGTAATCCCTAATTAAAGGAGGGGATCGTGACACAAGTGAAAGTGGACTATCGCCAGTCACGACAATGATACACTTTCAGGCAGGTGGTAAATATCGATGGGCGTCCACCTAATTTACGATGTCTTGCTTGTACGCGGAAAACATTCAGCAAATTATGCGAAAAGTACAAGGAAAAACTTGAAACGTACAAGCGACTGCATAGCTTCGTAAGGATAGACGCGCAGCAAGCGGTTGACCATTGGGATTAGGTAGGCCAGAGTTTTCCCAGACCCAGTTTGAGCGGCAGCCATGAGATCATACCTACCAGTCACTCGCTGGTAGCTAGCTTCGCCACCGGGAACTTCTGTCACATCCTCAGTACACAAAAGCCCAATGGCATGGCGCTGTACAGGAGTCAGTTGGTCAAAACCCATTCGAGATAAGTTTTCGTACAAGCGGCGGTCCACAAGAGGAATGTCAGCGACCTTAAAAGAGAATGAAGAGAGAAGCATGGAAAGTGACATTGGGTCGAGGTGAATAACTAAAAACAGGTCAACAGAGGACAACGAGAGCCGAAAACTTTTAAAAGCGAAACAGCATATGCAACATACAGAAATCACTCTGCCGAGTAGGACAGACAAGCCAGTCAGAGGCCCCGTAAACTGAAATCACCCAACCAAGAAACAGAGTTGATAAATTTTCGGATTAGATGAAACACAACATAGGTGCACGCCAGTCGCTGATTAGGCTTAGTAATGGCGTGGTGTAAAATCACAAAACAACAAACGTTGAAGTAGCTCGTGGAATTAAGGATATATCGATGTAGTGTGATCGAAATGTGAATAAACCAACGAACTATACAATCACGGGTGTAGGGACACAAAGCTAGGATGGAAGTGAGTTGAAAGTAGCCGACAATTTAGTAGGACTGGTATCGGCTGTGTGGATGTTTCGAAGAAGTTACTACAGGTTTGTGTATGGACAGGAAAAACAGAGGTAGTATGTATGGACCACGGTCAGACTGATCCCCCTGTGGTTGCCACACTCACTACGAGCCCCTTTTTTGAAAATGGGCGCTATCACCGACTCTCCCCAGTTGTCTGAGATAGATTTCTTTTCCCAAGCAAACAGATCAGACGAGCGCTGACTGAGGACTTTACCCTCAACATTGAACAATGCGGGTGGAGGGTTATCCGGACCAGAGAACATATGAAGTCATAAACCTCCGAGACCGTAGACGGTTCCACGCCCACTGTCCACGGCTCCACGTCACCTATGAGCTCCAGACGGGTGCCAGCTGGTTTACATGATGGTTGTTGTCCGAAGTGTTCGGCTCATCGTTGGAAGCGTTCTTCTTTAATCGAGACGTCCATTACATTCCGACCATTGATAGCTTCGCTCACAGGTGGTTTCCGGGGCCCGGTCGCACGGATCAAGCTAAATAATCTTCGGGCATTACCGGCCGACCACACTTCACGGTCGGCTTGCACACTCCTCTTCACTTGACGTCTGGTAATTGGCCGCTTCAAGTTATGCTCCGGGCCGCCGGGATTTAAGCAGTGCCACCGTTTGGTCTGCTTGAGTGCGCCTGATAGTGCCGTGCCACAGGCGAAATTCTCAGCACTATGCAAAGAGGTGGCAATCTCTTCATAATATGAGTTCACATATTTGGAGGAGATGATTCTGGTAAGTTCGTCTAACTTCCGGATCTACCGGTCTTTTAGTTGCCAAGAAATTTGCCCGCACTTTAAGCGGCCCTGAAACACGTAGGGAGAAGCGACTCCGGACGACCGCGTGGTCGGAATCCATAAAAGTGTTCCAAAACGACCGGCAGTCGGTAATTGATTGCAATGTGGTCGATTTGAGTTTGTGGGGGGGGGGGTATGCCGTTGGAGGACACCATGTAGCCAGACGACTTTGGCTACTTCGGAAATTAGCACTGCATAAAAACAGCCTGCGATCAGCATACAGCTGACGCAATCGTTCCCCATTGTCCGTACGTACCGAGTTCAAAGCATGTCGGCCACCTAATTGGGTCTCAGATACACTGATCATGCCCACTTGCTCATTCATATCTCCGGCAACCACCACAATGTCGGAGCTACAGTCAGTAGGGGCATAGGCAGACACGGTAAACATACATCTATCAACTTGCCGCCTGTGAGACTCCTTCACAGACGTTGCCAGACGAACCGCACAAAGGCGACTATCAACGGGTATCCAGTCAAGCAGGGATACTTCGTCCGATGACTCAGGACGATACCAACCCCTGCACATCCCGCCGCAGCAGCCTTGGATCACCAGAGGTGCATAGCCGAAAGCTAGTGGAGACTGATGGAGTGGTTAACTCAATCACTGTGCTTGTATCTTAAATTCTTGTTTCTGAGACACAGCACAACAATGCCAAGCGAGTCCAGTGTGAGAGCAAGAGCAGCTTCTTGTCCTGCTTGCTGCAGAGTGAGGTCACTGAAGGCAGCCAGATAGACTGGGTGTCGGGGCTTGAAGACTGATTTGGAGATACCTGAGGATGTCGGCGCCATGTGACGAGCAGATGCTGCACGCAAGACCGATACAAGACGAACGGAGTTGTCAGTCCTAAGAGTGCTGGGTCTACAAGAGGAAAGAAATTATTGGGGGTAAGAGAGGGAGGATGGACAGTATGGAGGCGTCAGCATTAGCTTGTTTTCGCTTACCCGCCTTGCTGTATGCAGCGAGTAGGGCGACCCGCTGATGGCACCACGCGACGGCCGATGTGGCACGAGTTTAGTTGTATATGTGCAGTTCATGGTTGTAAGCGGGCTGGGATACTGTCAGGGCATCAACACTTCGACAGGAAGACGATTAGGGTCCTCAACCAAAGCCTTTGGCTCAAGACAGTGGTATTTGGTGGGAAATGCAAATGCATTATCATTTCTATGGAAGAAGTGGCCGCATGTTCCAACCTCCAACCTGGAGGGTCAGGAGACTGCGTTCGTCAGACCTCTGGCCATTGACCAAGCTGGTAAGAAACTCTGTGGGTGTCGTGGGGACACCCCCCAGTATAGCTCAGTGGGTCGCCGAGGTGCGCAAACCGTCACACCACGGTAAGATCCAGTCTCTTCGTGACGGACTGTCTTGAATAAGATCCTGGGAGCGAACTAGCAGTAGGATACATTACTCAAAATGAAAATGAGTGTTTAGTTAATAATTGCAAAACACTTGTACGTCAATGAAATTCGAATCCATAATGTATTTTTTAAGGTGAAATAATGCCCCCTCGAAAAAGTAGAGATCGAGAGTACAAGACGCTGGTTTTAATATGGGAATACAAGAGCTATTATTGGTTCCTCCGTGACCATATCGGAAGCAATGAGATTTCTGGTACGTTCCTGTAGAAGCTGGTGGAGTTAAGGTGTACAACTGGGTGCATCAAGCTCATAGACATTAACCGCCGGTCCCTGGGATCTTAATCCTTCCGTAACATCTGCAGTCAGTTGGTAAACGGTGAATTATCCACTGACACCGGCCGGTTACCAGAAAGGACGAGGGCAACTGACTCAGTTGAGTTTCTTAACCAGTTGTATATACAATACGAACGGACAATACTAAGCACAAGCGTTGTGTTTAACGCGAAGGAAGTTCTCAAAGGCACCGTTGGGTAGTTGAACGTACATCCACAAAACCCATGGAGAAAGGACAATCCGAAAAAGGACATCTTAATTATTTAGTAGGAAATTTTACTGGACGATAAAAAAGAATGCCTCAAAATGGCATCAAATGCGAGTTAAAGTATAAGCAGTAAAATAGACTAAAATCTTGCACATGAATGCTTGGTACCCACACTTACACTAATGGACAGAAGTTGCTGAGAACGAGAATGACAAGTAGGTGATGAGATAGGTAGTGGATATTCGCATGCTGTTTTCTGGTACCTTGCGCCTGAAATCACCAAACTGATACAGCTGTGCACCAACACCCATCTCCAACCAACTTCAGGTTTGCCTGTTACAGGATGTGTACGTTCTTGTGATTAGATCACCAAACATCTTATCATCTTATCTGGTCGTACAGGCGCCGACTTTTCAGAATGTGCAGTAGCTGGACGCGTCCGACAATCCCACTTCCTTAGCTTGACTTGACAATCGCATGGCGCCCTCCAGGATCCAGTTTTTCTGTCGATACAGCATGGTTTATTGGTGGCTAGTAGTAACATCAGGAATCACACCAACTATGTACCCACAATGTCCAGGCTTGCAGGAAACGCTTCGAATTCTCCGCAGATGGCGTCAGAGGAAGAATGATGCCAATCCAGGTGGTCCTCACAGGACGAGTTTTCAGACTAGCTAACAGATGGACCCTTGTTACTGATTCTGATCTAGAAGTACATCCATATTCCACGAGTTATTTAATCCAGTGAGTTGTGGCTGTCGCTGTAGCCACTTTCATTTCGCATTACAACATCATGACCTCTCCTCTGTGGACCTTCCGCCAACAAGGATCTAAATTGGTCGTTAGTTTGTTCGCTAAGCTGCGCAATTTGATTGCAAACGTTTCATCAACAATCAATGTGACGTCATCATTGCACTAGGTTACCAACTTGCAGTCACCTTAGAATGATAGATCTTATCTGCTGCTCACACGAATCCAACTGGTAATAGTTTCATGACGTACCTGCGTTATTAGGAACATATCAGTAATTAAATATTTGGGGACGTTTGAGGTCTTCGAATAGAAGAAGCCAAGGTCCACAGCGGTATTCGTTTCTGGTATTCTGATATTCCGTTTCTGACGTCAAAATGATGTGAACTGGCTAGTATTGATCGTGTTTTGAAGATGCGTGTATGGGCTTCACCCACCACAACACCGTAACGGAGTATGCAGATACTACTCCCATAAACCCAAGCTCCTCAATCCGAAGGCCATCAGGAAGTCTGTTTTTTCAGCTGCAAACCATGCACCAAAGTGCAATGGTTACAGCTGCCACAGCTTCGTTTGCCAAAGATAAGGGCAGGAAAGTGAGAGCATTGGTCCTATCAACGCACTGACGACAAAGGAAGCTGGTCGTTGGCTTGTTCGCTGAGCTGGGCAATTTGGTTGCAAACGTTTCATCACCAATCGAGGTGACATCATCAGTGCGTAGTTGTGCGTAGCGGTGGGTTAGTGGTTACCACTAACCCACCATCTACGCTACCTGAGCTACCGACATTCTCCTCTATAGAAAACAAAGGAAGCTGTTTACCTAGTATGGTAGGAAGTGGGAACTACGCAGTTGAAGCGACAACTTCGATGCAACCCGCCACTGTCCGCTTGACAACCATATCTGTCAACGTCACTGGCCGCTGATTTTTCCTCGTCCCACGGTTCCCATCCGGATATGGCATTATCAACACGTATCAGTTGACTGGAAAGGAATTTCATGCTTGGGTGGCAAGTTATGGGCTAAGCGCCCCTGGATCGTCCCCATCTGCTGCAAGACTGGGCGAAAAGAGCCCTACAGGGTATCTCTGGCACACGAACTATATGACCTGACCAGCGTAACCCGTGGAGTGTGGCTGGCTGGCTATTCCCGGATATCAGCTGCGCACCTTTGCAATACAAATATGATGTTCCTACCAGATCCCCGCAATGCTTCGGGGGCATCGGAAGTTAAACGCAGCTGCATGCGGTTGCCACGTCTCCGATCCATGACGAACACATTGGACCGCAGCATTGTACATTCTACCCTTTGAAAGCCAGGCTGATGCCACATGGGCGCCATAAATATCGCGTTGGCAAACGCTGTATTGGGCTGCCCGATTGGAGAAGTGATTTTGTTTTCCACCCCCGCTGGGATTTATGAAGCTCTTCACATAGACGAGCTGTTCACATACCCCGTCTATATCTACACGGACATCTGACTCTCCGGATGATGGATCGACTTTTGTAAGTTGTACCAGAGAGCAACTTGGAAGCTATGCTGGACCACTGCTGTCCTCGCACATATATGTGATTTCCAAATTCGAACGATTCGATATCGCCTGTGTAACGTTTCGACAAGAGGATATGAAATGCTCAATAGAAGAGGCATATCACCACGAAACCTCCCAGAAGATTTGGTATATTTAACAGTGATGGTATTTGTTTTCCTCTTCGAGATATATTCAGCATAGGTGCTCAAACTTAGCTGAGAGATTCAGCTGGGTTCCAGATGAGTCTCTCGCAGAACCAAATTTGTTTGCAAATGAGCGTATTTCGCTAGCTGACAGTACTTCGGATGGCACCTCAAACTTTCTCACAGTATTAGGTCACAGTAGATAAATTCACCGTAACGATCAGTCCATTTTTAGGAGACGTAATAGAAGGCATTCGCTGATATCCTCCAAACAAATATGAACAGAGAAGAAACAGCAGGTTGGCCAAGGTCTCCATATATGGCACTTCCACAAATTTCGCTTTTAGTCAGACGAGCAAATCGGCACCTGTGATTCAAATTAGGATAAAGTACAACTGATTTGCAGTTTGACCCACAATCACTGGTCACTCACGAACATACAGCCATGTCTACAGAACATGGTGGATACCGATACGGGCTATGCGTACAGTAGAACCTCTGGTAGGTTGTCTGCGCACGACCCAATCTTCTAGGGATTGTGAGGGGACTGATTTCACTGTGGGTTGGATAGCAACATTAAATCTACTTCAGTAACTAATTAAGGAGTAAGTTTATGGTGAGATTCCAGGTGCTGAAGCTTAGTAAAGTGAATGGCTTCCTTGCTTCACCTATTACCTCGCAGAACAAATTTGTTTGCAAATGAGCGTATTTCGCTAGCTGACAGTACTTCGGATGGCACCTCAAACTTTCTCACAGTATTAGGTCACAGTAGATAAATTCACCGTAACGATCAGTCCATTTTTAGGAGACGTAATAGAAGGCATTCGCTGATATCCTCCAAACAAATATGAACAGAGAAGAAACAGCAGGTTGGCCAAGGTCTCCATATATGGCACTTCCACAAATTTCGCTTTTAGTCAGACGAGCAAATCGGCACCTGTGATTCAAATTAGGATAAAGTACAACTGATTTGCAGTTTGACCCACAATCACTGGTCACTCACGAACATACAGCCATGTCTACAGAACATGGTGGATACCGATACGGGCTATGCGTACAGTAGAACCTCTGGTAGGTTGTCTGCGCACGACCCAATCTTCTAGGGATTGTGAGGGGACTGATTTCACTGTGGGTTGGATAGCAACATTAAATCTACTTCAGTAACTAATTAAGGAGTAAGTTTATGGTGAGATTCCAGGTGCTGAAGCTTAGTAAAGTGAATGGCTTCCTTGCTTCACCTATTACCATAAATCTAGGATCATTCTGGAAAGCTGAATTTGTAGCTTGAGCATTTGTGGCGATGTCAGGTTCCGGAAAATCCACCATAAAGGGCGCAAAACTGTAGAAAGGGCTTTAAAAAATCAAGATGGGTGACTTGAATCAGACCGCTCAACCGCTTAGCAGACCACCCGAAAGCCTTGATGTGCAAGGTGCTAACAACAGGAACTGACCTACCAAGTGCGGGAACACAAGAGGGTCCTATTCGAAAGTGCTTAGGCCTCTACGTGTCAGAATCTCAGAAAAAACAACTAGTGCTGATACGCAAGCATCCGAGGCGAAAACCAAACGAGTATGCACGAAGCGGAACGCCCAAACAAGAACGCACTGCGAATGAGTGTTTGATGTCAGTAGGCGTGGGAGAATTCAGTAGCGAAAGTCAAAAGATCGTATCAGTCATGACCAGAATCTCCATACTGTTCGGTGAAGGGGGTAAAGGGAATTCAAGTCAATACTGCATTTTGACCGGATGAGGGGATGAAGGCTGGTTGTAAAATCACCTAGTCGAACTGGAATCTGTAAACGACCGCAACCGAGCATTCTACAGAATTCAGAGACTGAGGAATGAGTCCTGCCGAGTACTAGGAGACATCGTTCCAGGAGAACAAAAGTCATAAGGTCATAAGTGATCAGTTGAAATCAGATGATACAGTGGAAGCGCGGGACCTTCAAATTGTGGCGTTCTGTTTTGTGAAGGAGGAGCCGACGCTGCACTACAATCCAATTATTCAAAACACCAACGATCAATCGAAAACAGAATACCAGCTGGATGGAGCTCCTCGATCATCACCCCAGTTTTAAAAAAGAACGTAAGAACGTCATGTGAAAACCATCGTTATATAAGCCTGAGATCGTCCAGCTGTAGCACCCTTTCGGTGCCTAGCTGCCATGCCACCCGAAGGTTGCACAAGGGCTGAGATACTGCCAGGTTGCCCAAGCCTAGACATGGGAAGTGGTAGAGGTCGGGTTCGAACCACGGACTTTCCGGTCAGTAAATTCGCGCTCTAACCACTTGGGCCATCTCGCTTCCCATATAAGCCTGACTACACCGCATCTAAGGTACTCTCTGGCATTAATTTGCACAGGTTCATGGAGTACCGTGAGAGACGGATTCGTGAAAATCAAGCTGGGCTTCGACCAGTTTTAACTTGAAACAAATTTTTGAACAACACCACTCATTCAGACGTCACACATTAGTCGTTTTTCTTGATCTGAAAGGTGCTTTTGATTTTGTCGATCGTCAGAAGCTTTGGCAGTGTCTGGCGATCAAAGGTGTCCCTTCCGAATTTATATCTCTTATTAGGGCACTGTATGCGAACTCCTGTAGGAGCGTTCAAGTGTACCGCAAGCTTTCACCTGAGTTCACCACGTCCAGACAAGACTGCTCTTTCTCAGTGTTTGACCATAGGTGTCTCCGAAGTATTGGTCAGGTCTGGTAAGAACATCGGACCAGTATTGCTGGAGTACACAAGATGGTCTTTGGGAGAAGGAACGCTCCCGCGATTAATGAATTACTCACACTTCATAGGTTACGCTAGTCAGGACATGTGCTCCGCATGTCAGAAGGCCGTCCGCTTCATACTGTTCTTTTCGCACAGCTGTGTATTGAGTGGAAGGGACCGAGAGGTGGACGGTATATGATTTGGCAACGAAGGATGGAAACAATAACCAGTAAGCTTAATCGGGTCAACAACTGTCACTTCTTTAGATGGGGAGCTCGGAACTCAACTCACCGGTCGTTAATAACACTGGCAAAAATGACCTGATTGCGCAGTCAGTGGCGCCCTCGTATCAAAGCTATCGCCTTAAGTGCGTAGCTACCCAATTTTCGAACCAACTGAACATGTCATTTAAGGCTTGGCCGTCCATCTGTCGGTCGCTTCCACTTAACACAGGGCTGGCCGAAAAGAGCTCTCCGAGGCAGACGATCTTCTGGTATGCGGAGTACATGACCCAACCAGCGCGGCCTATAAAGCTGAGTGATTCATCTATCGCGGGAGAGTTCCCTCTTCCTAAGACTATTTGGCGTACCCCAGCATTACTGATGCGATGTTCCAAGCAGACCTGACCAATGCTTAGGAGACACCGATGATCAAACAATAACATCTTCCGTATGTCCTCTGTGCGTAGGGGCCACATGGTAGACGTCGACATTAGGAACACAACCTACAAGCTAACTTCACTTCGGTTCCGAAACTATCATCTGTCCGCATTTGTCGGAGAGCAAAGGTAGATAAAGAGACTCCATCGTTTTGTCCTACCATTGGTCTGGTTATTGATAAGTCAGTGAAGTCCGAGGGCCGCATAGTTCAGCATGTGTCGATGGTTGCGGAAGGACGTTGAATAGCTGGTGGCTGATCAGATGGCAGTTCGCCGAGCTTGGCAATTGGCTTGCAAACGTATCGTCCCCAGTCGAGGAGACATCGTCAGTGCGCAGTTGGGTGATCAACCACCAGTAAACACACCCGATATACCTATATTTCGACAAATTGACCTTGAATAACTTCCAAACTTGACTGCCCAATACACTCAGCTACCCAGTTTTCTTAGATGGATATGGAAGAAGTGCTAGAACCCGCACCAGGTCCGGAAAGTTTCTACCGAGCAATGCCGAATAAATTGGTGGCGTGTTTCACACGATCACTGGGGAGATTTTTCGCAACTCAATGGAGGAGGAAAACTAGCAAAGATGTGGACGGAAGTGGTAGTAAAACCGGTGCACAAAAAAAGGATCTAAAGATAACCCAGTCAATCGTAGATCAGTGAGCCTCATGTCCGTCCCGAGGAAACTGATGGGGGAACGCTTCCGGTGGGTACTAGAACATTTTAAAAAGGACAACGGTATGAAGATCAAAATGGACTTCTGAAAGAAGCATTCTGTGAAACGTTCATGTTTGCTATTTAGTTGAATGTGGGTAGCTCAGACAGTGTAGATGGTTGCCGGTTCGTTCATCGAACTGTGTAATTTGGTTGCACTTGGTTGATGGTGATTCGATGACTGGTTTAACTGAAGATGGAACGTTTGCAATCAAATCAACCAGCTCGGTGAAACAAACGACCAGTGTTGTAT